TATGGCTTTTGCCGGGGTATTTTATCACAGCAACAGAGAAAAGAAGCAAAGACTACTCCAAAAGAGAAACTGAACTCAGTGGCAATAACGGACAAACAAAACGATGAGGCCAGAGAGATGGCTCAGTGGTTGTGTGTGTACTGCGCTTCCAGAAGATCCCAGGTTGGTTTCTAGCACTCACATCAAATGACTCCCAACTGCCTGCAACTCCAGATCCAAGAGATGATGCCCTCTTCTGGCCTCTGTGGGCATTGCACTGACATGCACATACCTAACCCACAGATGCAGCCATATAATTAAAAGAAATATAATAAATCCTTGTGTTAGAAAAAAAATAAGGTCTCCCGCTCAAAAGGACATCTGACAGATGTACACACAACCTGTACAAGGCCCTGGGGGACAGGTGTACTATGCCAACCTCAGGAAAGGGAAGAGAGCTGCCAAGCTCTTAGGAGAAGGGCAGAATGATGATAATCAGTGTAAAAAGAGCACGGGAAGAGAAAGAGACAAGCAGAGTCACTTAGACACCCATATGCAAATGCTCTTAAACCTACAGACTGCCATGTGCTGTGGAGCTCTGTCTCCACACAGGACCATCGGCCTGCCGAGAGCCTCAGATATGCCGATGTGGCCAAAGCTCCCAGGTGAGCTACTGGGCAGCCAGGCACCAGGTTCTGAGAACCCCTCAGAAGAGACCTGGCCCCCAGGATAGCCAGCTCCATTCAAAGTCCTCAGTGGTGGCTCCTTCCACACCTCAGCCTTGCAGCCCTGAAGTACCACAGTGCACCACAGAGGCAAGCCTGTGAACACTCAGTGCATCCCTGAGAGGCAGGCATGGTATGAGCGGAGACTGACGCTGTGAAGTGAGCTCCACCTCTCCCACGCCTGACTCCTGTGGGGCTCCACGTCACCAGGCCTATGACAGTCACATGGCAGGGCAAGTTCTTAAGTCTGGGCTCAGGAAATGTACAAGGGACTCTCAGTGGCTGCCCCATGGGGTGCTGCTTCCTCACTCCACCCACCCCACCCCAGGAATCTGGGTGTCACAGACTACAGAGGCCAAGTGGCTCTGGCTGCCACCTCTACCAAAGCACATAATCTGAACCGGCACAGAGCACAGACAGCACCAAAAGCCTCTCCCTGTCTGAAACACACACACACACACACACACACACACACACACACACACACACACACACCTACCTTCTCATTTTTAACATGAAGATACAGACAAAAGTCAATAAAACACCAATCATGGTCTCATGACCATGGTCATATCTTTTTTTTTTTTTTTTTTTTTTTTTTTTTTGGTTTTTCGAGACAGGGTTTCTCTGTGTAGCTTTGCGCCTCTCCTGGAACTCACTTGGTAGCCCAGGCTGGCCTCAAACTCACAGAGATCCGCCTGGCTCTGCCTCCCGAGTGCTGGGATTAAAGGCATGCGCCACCACTGCCCGGCCATGGTCATATCTTGATGTCTTCCTTCCTGGTACTTTCTCTGCTTCCATTCTAGCAAAGCAGTATTGCTCTTTCTCTCATTCCCCGCTGAATTTGTCTATGCAATAGCTTTCCTGTGTCACTAAAAGTCTTCTACACGTTTGAAATGACTGAAGGGTGTCTCTTAAATGGGAGGCACCATAGCTAATGCATCATCTACTCTGCTGGACCAGTGGGGTGGCTAGCTTCCCCACCACTGAAGGACGTATCACAGAGCCTCTGCTCCCTCCAAGGGACTCAGACAGAACTCAACCCAGAGGAGGCCCAGGCTCCCCGGTTCCCCATCTTTTCTTGCAGTCTGACAAAGGACTGAACATGGACCCAGTTCAGGAATCTATGCAGTAGGAAGTGGGCATAGGAGTCTGGGGCAATGCCCCATGGTGGTAGGATGGTCGCAACTATGTCTGTCTTAATCCATGGAACCTATAAATGTCACACACAGCAAGGGGAATTAAGGTCAAAGAAAGCACGAAGACCACTTGTTCAGCAGCTGATCTTGAGAAGCGTTATCACCCTGGATCACCCGGTGGGTGGTCCCAGTGTGACAGCAAGGATCATTATGTGACAGTAAGGGAGTAAGTGCAGGGCAATTCTCAACATAACTTTGAGGATGAAGGAGGGGCTGAGAGTCAAGGAGGCACAGGAGTGGGCCCTGAGGGTGGGATAGCAAGGGCCACCACTGCCCAAGAGTTACAGAGAAGCTGTGTGCCCTCGGCTGGTTCTGGCCAGCGAGAATCACACCGTACTTCTGACAGAATACTGTAAGACAATGAACTTGTGTTCCGGTGGCTCCGGTGGCTGATGGGGCCCAACTGCAGGAAGTTCAGGGTTATGTTTGTGAGGCTGGCTCTGACCACAGTCAACTGAACCTCTCAGGCCTCCCTTCCCAAGTCCATCGAACACAGTCCAGGAACGGAGTCATGTGAGGAGAATTCTGAGTGCTTGTGAGAACACTCCAAGAAAGCATGACAAGAGTCTTGTGACCTCAGCTTCTTAAAAATATGGAATTGTGGGAAATGGATGAGATCTACATGAGTAAACTGGGGGTGAGGGGGGGTAATGGAGGGCAAGGGTCAGAGAAAAGAGAGCTTAGGAGAGCGGGAGGTTCTAGCTGGATCAGGAACAGAGTGGGAGAACAAGGAAAAAGATACCATGATAAATGAAGACACCATGGGAATGGCAAGAAGCAGAGTGCTACAGAGGTCCCCAGGAATCTGCAATGATGACTCCTCCATAGACTACTGGCAATGGTCCAGAGGGTGCCTGAGCTGGCCTACTCTGGTGATCGGATGGCTGAATACCCTAACTGTCATCATAGAACCCTCATCCAGTGACTGATGGAACCAGATGCAGAGATCCACAGCCGGGGCTCAGGCAGAGCTCCAGGAGTCCAATCGATGAGAGAGAGGAGGGATTCTATGAGCAAGAGATATTGAGACCATGATTGAAAAAAGTACAGAGACAACTAGCCAAAGTAGTGGAAACACATGAACTGTGAACCAATAGCTGAGGAGCCCCATGGTACTGGACTAGTCCCTCTGGATAAGTGAGATAGTTGTTTAGCCTGAACTGTTTAGGAGACCCCCAGGCAGTGGGACCGGAATCTGTCCCTAGAACATGAGCTGGCTTTTTGGAACCTAGTGCCTATGGTGAGACACTTTGCACAGCCCTAGTGCAAGGAGGAGGGGCTTAGGCCTGCCTCAACTGAATGTACCAGGCTCTGCTGACTCCCCATGGGAGATCTTGCCTTAGAGGAGGTGGGAATGGGGAGTGGGATGGGGGGGGGAAGGCTGGGAGGAGGGAGAACAGGGGAATCTGTGGGGTTGATATTTAAAATGAATAGAAAATTTCTTAATAAAAAAAAGAAAAAAACATATGGAATTGTTCTTGGAATGTCTTTGTCCACTCTTCCCAAGTGTAACGGATAGGAGTGAGTTCACTTCGGATTACTCATTATTGCTTGCTGTTGTTATTCAATTAAATAGTTATGCCTCTATGGAAAAACATGTTCTTGCCACATGTGGCTTGTCCTTGTGATTGTATAGCTTGAACTCATGAGAACTTTACCCATGTGACTTTTCTTAACCCTCAGAGTATAAACTGTCTGGGGCTCTGAATGCACAAAACTTGAGTCGGCCTCACTTCTCAGCTCCATTCTCCCGGGTCCCACCATCTCTAGAGTGGGACACCATCCCATGATGATAACCCCATAGTTTCAACCCCAGTTAAGACCTTTATTACCAACATCTGTCCATCTACTGCTCCATGCCCCTGGAATCCAGTGAAGATCCCATCACTGAGCCCCAGGTCTGTATGCACCACTCCTATCCATCTGGACTATGACCCAACCCCTCCCAACATTCATACCCAGCAGCCATTCTGACCACCCCCACCGTCCCAGGCAGAGCCCAGCAGCTCTGCCTCCAGAATGTGCTTTGTGGGGCTACATGGTCCTTCCCCACAGCTGTCCCTTCTCTCTGCAATGCTTGCTCCGCATTCTGATCAACACCATCACTTCCCAGCCATCCTCCAAAAGGCTGCCCACCACACTTAGAATAAAACTCAGCTTCCCCTTGACCATGATGACTCCCTAGTTGCCTTGACCTGCTCACTGATCCCCTTCCACCCTTTCCATATGCCCGCATCATCTTTGGTAACACTTCCATCTTGAAGCATTTGCTCCTGTGGTTCCCTCCTTCCAAGGCCTCCATGACTCACCCTTCAGAGTGTCTGTTCCTGGGTAACCCATGATTGAGGCCATCCCTGCCCCTCTACTACCCCATCCCTGGGTGGGGGTGTTCTACCTGTCCTGTGACAGGAACCCATGCCTACTGAATGCTCCTGGCATATGGTGTATAGACAAGCCTAGAGGAGAGCCGCAAGGTGGGCGTGGGTAGAGACCTGGGAAGCCTTGGTCAAGGAACGGGAAAGCAACTGGAGGCTCAGCCTGACTCCACTACCCAGCAGGCCCTGGGGGAGAAGCATGACTCCATCACTCAACAGCCTGGACTGTCTGCACCTCCACTTTTCGAAAACCTGCCCAGGACCTGCTGGAATTACCCATTTGTTCATTCATATTTGTTTCCAGATTTCATCACAGGCACTAGGGACAGTTGGGTGGTGGACCAAAGGGACACAGCCCTATCCTCCTGGTTAGGGCTTCCCTGGGTATCATGGGCAAGGCAGTCTTCAAAGCTATCACCATTGGTGGGGGACACAATTTGAAGCCTTGAGTCATTCTTGGGGCCTTAATTTTCTCTGGTTACAGTAGATCCCTCGGAGCAATGTATAGAATGTAGCAGACTTTGCCAGAGGTTTCCGAAATAACTGTTGCCCCCCTAGTGAGAATGAGCATTACATACCTTGCCTCCAAGGAGCTCTCAGGGTGCTTAGGGGAAGGGAGGTAGCCAGTGGCTAGAACAGCCCCCCGAGCCCATGCTGGTGCATCCTCTTGCCAGTCCCCATATACCTAGTCCCCACCCATCCTTTCCAGTGCAGAGACTTACGCTTAGAGTGCTTGTCGCACAGGGCAGCTGCCCGCATGTCACAGAGCCGCAGGGACCCCTTGCTGCTGCTGTAGACAAAGAGGTTGCAGTGGTGAGGGTGGAACTCGGATGCTGTGATCACTTCTGTGAGGTCTTCCATGTTGGCTGGCTTGATGTCTACGATATCTGGGTTGGTGAGGTCAAGGGCAACAGTGGAGTTGCTTTTGCTCTCTCCCTTCCATAAGGCCCAGGCCAAACCCAACCAGCTCTGAGTGGCTTCTCTGGCTTTTAAGACACGTTCCCCCACCCAAGAAACACGCCAGTCCTTAGTCCCCCAAGCCACAGATTCACATGGAAGACTGCTGGCCCCAGTGCCCCTTCCCAGTACCTGTCTTCTGCAAAGCTGAACCCACACCCTCTTACTAAAGAGTGCCTGCCAGCTGCCCAGCTCTGCAGTCACCATGGACCTCTCCTGACAGCCCACCTTCCACTCTCAGTAGCCAAACAGAAAGGGTTCTCAGTGTGCACTGTGACAGCGAGCTGTCCCCCACAGGCTCGTGTGTTCCCTGCCCTCTAGTCACTGCTGTTTGGGGAGGCCAGGGAACTTTTAGAAGTGGGTCACTAGGGGTAGGCCTTTGAAGGTAACACCTGCCCGATTCCTGCCTTACTCTCCATCTCCTGGGCCACCCTAATGTAAGAAGGCTCTGGCACACACTCCCATGGCCAAGAACTACGCTAAGGCTCCACCATGCCTTCCCTGCCCAGGTCAAACCATGAACTGAAATAAACCTTTCTTTCCATCAGGGACTGTGGTCACAGAGACTCAGAAGATGAACAGATACACCCACTACATGCTGGGCCATGGACACTTTTAGTGAGTAATTGCACATCACTGCCCCCTCTGAACTGTCTGGAGCATGTACATAGGTTTGTTGCCCCAGCAGCTACTCTGCTTCCACCCGCAGTATCAAGCTTCTCTATGGAAAAATGTTCTCTGATTTGAGTCAGTCACACACTTAGCTCTGACCAGTGCCGTGGAGACTCCAGAACCTGGAATACAGGGATGCTGTGATATGTTTCCCTGGGCTGGATGGGAACAGAGGAGAGGATTCTGGGGCCTGCAGCCACACCCCAGTCTCTGCCGTCAGGGCAAAAAAAAGAGCATTCCACAGCATTCAGGCTGTGGGCATCCAGCTGGGTACTTGGTCATGGAGCCTAAGGACTGGTCAGTACCTGCTTGGCAGCAAAGTAGCCTACAGGCTGTGGGTGTCCAGCTAAGTGCACAGTTATAGGGCTCAAGGACTGGCCAACACCACCGCCTGGCTGTCATCAGGTGCCACTGGGATGGACGTTATTAAGTACTGAGGGTCTGTGTATTACTTACCTCTCATATTGCTCCAATAAAATACCTGACAAGAGCAATTTAAGAGAGGAACATGATCGAACACCAATAACATAGGCACTACAGTCAACAATTAACAAATGGGACCTCATGAAACTGAAAGGTCTGTGCAAGGCAAAGGACACCATCAATAGACAAAACAGCAGTCTACAGAATGGGAAAAAATCTTCACCAATCTCACATCTGATAGAAGGCTGATATCCAAAATATATACAGAACTCAAGAACTAGACATCAACAAACCAAACAATCCAGTTTAAAAAGTGGTGTGCGGAGCTAAACAGAGAATTCTCAACAGAGGAACCTTAAATAACTGAGAAACACTTAAAGAAATGTTCAACGTCCTTAGCCACCAGGGAAACGCAAATTAAAAGTACTTTGAGTTCCATCTTACACCTGTCAGAATGGCAGAGATCAATAACACAAGTAACAGCTCATATTGGTGAGGATTCAGATCAAGGGGAACACTCCTTCACTGGTGGTGGGAGTGCAAACTTGTACAGCCACCATGGAAATCAGTATAGTGGTTCCTCAGAAAATTGGGAATTGACCCACCTCAAGACCCAGCTATACCACTCTTGGGCATATACCCAAAGGATGCTTCATACTACCACAAGGGCACCTGCTCAACTAAGTTTATAGTGGCTTTATTCATCATAACCGGAAACTTGAAACAACCTAGATGTCCCTCAACTGAAGAATGGATGAAGAAAATGTGGTACATTTACACAATGGAGTATTCTCGTCAGTTTAAAAAAATGACACCATGGATGGAACTAGAAAAAAATCATCCTGAAGGAGGTAATCCAGACCTAGAAAGACAAACATGGTATGTACTCACTTTTAGGTGGATATTAGCTGTTAAGTAATTGATAATCATTCTACAATCCATAGACCCAGAGAGGCTAAGTAACAAGGAAGGCCCAAGGGGAGAATGCATGAATCTTTCTGGGAAGTGGAAATAGAATAGATTTCATGGGTGGACTGGGGGCAGTTGGGGATGGGAACAGGGGGGATCAGGTTGGGGGGAGGGAAGGAGGGAGAGAGTACTGGGAGAGATGACTGGAATTGGGGGGCATTTAGGGCTCAACGTGGAAACCTAGTGCAGTGGAAATTCCCTGGAATCTACAAGGGTGACCCTAGTGAGAGCTCCTAATAATGGAGGATATGGAGCCTAAACTGTCCATCTTCTGCAACCACGCAAAGCTTCCGGTAGTAGGACTGGGACACCAACCCAGCCACAAAACCTTCGACCTACAATCTGCCTTGCCTGCAAGATCTGCTGGGGCAATGGGGGCACAGAACTTGTGGGAGTGGCCAACCAATGACTGATCTAATTTGAGGCCCACACCACGAGTGGGAGCCTATGCCTGACACTGCCTGGATGACCAGGAACCGAAGGCTGGATAGCCCAGAGATCTACGGTAGAACCAAACACAATTGGCAGAAAAAAAAATGAATGAAAAGATTCCTAATGATGTTCTGCTATACTTATAGATCTGTGCCTAGTCCAGCTGTCATCAGAAACTGCCTCCAGCAGATAATGGGAGTAGAGGCAAAGACCTACAGCCAAACATTAGGCAGAGAGAGAGCCCAGGTTAGAGGTCTCCATCAAGGCCCTTAGCCAGAGCTCAGGGAACCCTGTAGAAGAAGGGGAGAAGGAACTGTGGGAGCCAGAAATGTCAAGGACACTGGGAGAGCATGGCCCTCAGAATCAACTAAGCAGGGCTCACAGGGGCTCACAGATACTGAAGCAGTAATAGCAGAGCCTGCATGGGTCTTCGCTAGGTCCTCTGCATACAGGTTATGGTTGTTGGCTTGGTGTTTGGGGGGGGGGACTCCTGACAGTTGGAGAAGGGGTGTCTTTGACTCTTTTGCCAGCTTTTAGGACCCCTTCCCTCCTACTGGGTTGCCTCGCCCAGCCTGATGTAAGGAATTGTGTTTGGTCTTGTTGTATCTTATTGTGCCATGTTCGGTTGATGTCCCTGGGAGGCCTGATCTTTTCTAGGGAGAGATGTGGGGAGAGTGGGTCTCAGGGAGAGGGGAGTTGGGAGGAAACTGGGAAGAGTGGAGGAACAGAAGCTGCAGTCAGGATGTATTACACAAGAGAAGAATGAGTATTTTTAAGAGAGGAAGAGATCAAGCTTGGTGACACATGTCTTTAATCCCAGCACTCAGGAGGCAGTGGTAGGCTCTGTTAATTTGGGGTCAGCCTGGTCTACATAGCAAGCCAAGACTTGGGTTAGCCAGGTCTATATAGTGAGACCTTGTGGATTCTGACTTTGTCCTTTCCATTCTTTCCAGGACCTGAGCCCAGGGAATGAATGGCGCCACCTACATTTGAGATGGGTCTTCCCTTCCACCTCAATTAATCAAATCTAGATAATCCCTCACACACATACTCAGGGATTGGTTTCCATGGTGATTCTAAATTCAATCAAGTAGAAAATCAAGATTAATGATCACAACTTATCCCACTAAGTTTTATTGAATCTATCCTAAAACAGGGACCTGAAGGAGACGCCTGACAAGGGGGTAGCTGTGGGAGGGACACACAGCACTAATGTGCTGGACACACCTCTCCTTGCATGCCATGTCAGCGGGGGCTTCCAGATACTCTCAACTATGGCCCCTCCAGGTGGCTTTAATTTTGGAGATCACGTCAGAGTTTAGGGCTAGATGTCGGAATATAGCTCTCTAGAATATGCTATGCCACACAGGAACCCACAAACCTCAGTTTCCCCCTATGCAAAATGGGGGCTTGAGTGTGATTGGAAAATAATGGTTCCTTTCCAGGACTGACCTGGGTGGCCATGAGCCGAGATGGGCCCCCAAAGGAAGTGGCCCTCAGAGACTGGGAAATGGGGACAGCAACACAATTCTGTAATAGAGAGGGTGTTGGCAGTGACAGTACTCCTGGCTTCCCCAGGTGGCCTGGAGTTCAACACAAGTATCCACATTAGACACACAAAGAAAGAGTAGGAGAGGTGCAGGGGCTGGGGGATGGGAGACACATCCTCAGTGACTCAGTGATGGGGACAGCCACAGCCACCAGGGACTAGAAGAGATGGTAGAGGCTAGACCGCCAGGAACAGCCCTGAAAGGCAGGTGGAGCTCTACACCTGCTACACCCCAGTGTGAGCTACAGGTCGGGTGAGAGACCGCCAGGCTACTGCAGAGCCAGGCTGTGTTTGGATCCAGAATGACATCTGTGGTCCTTCCTGTCAAGGACACAGGAAACATGAGCCACACGGGCCTCTGCAGCACTGTCAGGCTGTAGGGACTTCAATAGGCTGTCTGTCCTTCATCTCCTGTCGCCAAAGGCATTGCCTGATCTCCTGAAGCTCAGCCTGGGTCCTGCTATCACTGTGGGCTGATGAGTTGTGGAGAGGAGGGTCTGTGTGTCCCATGGCTTCCATTCACTGGGTCTCAGCATCCATCCTATGCAGTGGTGGGGACTGAGGGCCACTCCTTCTTCACAGGGGATTCTCTGCTAACCACTCACTGAGTCCAGACTGTGAGCTGAAGAATCATTGGCTTGTTCTAGCAGAATATCAAGGGAGAAGTGGGCACAGAGAGCAGAGAACCAATAGCAGCCCCCATCACGTGGGCATTCACAGAGACACCATGGGAAAAGCTACGCTGTAAAGATGTAACAGCAAACTGGGCCTCCAGACACAGTATTAGCCCGGGTAGAAGGCAGCAAGGAGCCCATCCCTGAAGAAAGCAGGGAGGCTGGGGTGAGCAGGGACATACCCAGAGCCACATGTGGAGCTGTGGAGTGGGGAGCTGGGAGGAGCTTCCAAATGTCAGGGCAGGGCAGGCCTCCCAGCAGCCTCAGCACACCAAGGACCCCGATGCTGTGGCTACGGCTGTCGCTCAACACGGTGGATGCCAAGTGCAAATGGAAGTTTCAGGAGAGAGACTATGGAAGCCCTGGGCTGCACCGACTGCACCGGGCAAAGCATGAGGCTCATCCACATGTCTTCCCAAGGACCCTGCTCTCAAGACTAGAAGATGTTGTCATGGCAACCAAGTAGTAGCTGGAGTGAGAAAAGAGACAGCTCGGCCAGAACCCTGCAGAAGGGCCTCCTGTGTGGAGAGCCCCCAAGGCTCTTCTGCACATACAGATGGTCTAAAAAAAGAACTGGTTTTCTCTCCAAATTTCTTCCAGCAGATGACCTGGCTGCAAGCAAGACCTGAGGGCGCTCAAGGCACAGCATACCAAATCCTAGACCCAGAGCCTGGCTGCCACAGCACAATGCCAAAGGTGAATGGGTGAAGCCTCAGACACCCAGTTCTCGGAGTTTGGGAACCTAGAAGTCCACCGCTGAGGTCAGGAGAGGGCGGGAGTCTCCCAAAGCCTGTTGCTGGCATTTCCATGGGGTCACCTGCCCTGCCCCCTGTGTTCTTACCTAGTCTCTGCTGTCCCACCCCTGTGCCGGTGACCCCGTCACCTCTTCAGCTAAGGACACCAGTCACCCAGGACCCCTGTGCTTGATTTTAAGCTGACAAGCCCTGAACACGCTGTTAGCACATCAGCATCATCTTGAGATTCCGGTCATGGTTCCAGCACAGGAATGAGGGTCACCGCACAGCGTCAGTAGCATCCTGGGTCCCTGTGCAGAATATCTTTCTGGCTGGGAAGGTGCCTTTGTGCAACTTATGAAAAGACCTCTTCTGTGAAGCATTTAAAACAAACAAAACAAACAACAACAACAACAACAAAAAAAACCAACCTGTCCTCTGGAAACAACACCTCAAGTGCTGCTGTGGCAGGACATGAGCGGTTTCAACAGGCTGAGTGGGGCTGAGGGAAAACTTCCAGGAAGGAGCAGAGGCTATGGGTACACAGGCCTGGCCTGCTTCAAGGCTCTGAGGAGAACCTGGCTTTGCTCGTTCCGCCTTCCTGGACGCTAACGGCCCTGAGAGGAACTAAAGGTGAGTCCAGGCTGGGGCCCAGGCTGACCTCTAGCTCCTCAGGGTCTGCCGTTTGAGTCATCTTGGCCTCAAACAGGCAGGAAAGTGGCTGTCCTAGACCCACGTGCAAGCAGTGGCTTCCACACTTTAAAGTCACTTGCCTGCTTTGTATGGAAATGCCCACAGTACCTCTGCACTGGGCTACAGAGTGCCGGGGACACAGGGAGGTCTCATCCTGGGTTCCAAACCCAAAACTGTGTGTGTTGTCATAGAAATCCCTGTGTAGCCAGAAATCAAGAGAGATGGGGCCCAGGAGGGGTCCTGCCAGCCCATGGCAAGGACAGATGGGACTGGGCCATGGGACTGTGGGCTGGTCATGGGGCCAAGAGTAAGAGGGGACTCAGCAGAGGGTGGAACATGGTTCCATGGGTCCCTGAAGGACAGACAAGTCTGAGAGTTTGGGGATGGGATGAGGGAAGTGTCACCAAGGATCACCAGCCACCAGTGAGGAGCACAGGACAGTCTCGGAAGCCAAAGGGACCACTGGGAACTTTGAGCAGAGGCTAACAGGAGCAAGATAGAAAGGGATGCAAGACCCTGGTCCAGACCCAGCCCAGCTCCCTGCACTCAGAACGGCCTCCTCAGGATGGATGAGCCAGAGTCCTCCAGGTGACCCCCGCTCAGAGGGTGTCACATAAGCTCAGAGCCATCCCAGCTCAGCATGAGGTCACACATACCTCTCTTCTGGCCTTGTCCACGCCAGAAGTATGACATCTCTAATTACTCAGCTGCCCTCAGACCCGTGGAAACACTTGCAGCCCCGAGTCCAGACCCTTTTCTGCTAAGGGAGGCTCACCTCAGGGACTGAGCCCAGAGCTCTGTTCCAGGTGTCTGAATCTCATCCCTCTGTGGCCTGCCACCAGCAGGCCGCAGACAGGCAACATGGCTCCCTGATTAACCTGCCAGTCAGAGAGGAGACTGCTTCAAGTCCTAGTTTTCCCCAAGCCACCTCTGGGTCTCCAGCAGCACGAGACACACACACCCTCCTCCAGTGAACAGAGCAGGCATCTCTTGTCAGCAGCTTACCAGCCACTTTCACAAAACTGGAGCCACACATAAGTGGGACACAGTTCCACAACAGCCATGTTAGTTTACTCATCCCCACAGGGTCCACCAGTCCACTGACATGCTCCCTTTCCACTCCAGTTCCCACAGGGCCCACCAGTCCACTGACATGCTCCCTTTCCACTCTAGTTCCCACAGGGCCCACCAGTCCACTGACATGCTCCCTTTCCACTCCAGTTCCCACAGGGTCCACCAGTCCACTGACATGCTCGTCTTTCCACTCTCCCTCAGTAGCCCAGGTTTCCTGGCCAGTTATGCCACTCACTTTCACACACACCACCTGCTCCAGGCCCACAGATTCACACGGCAAAGGCCCACCTTGGCTTCTTCTCTGCCTGCCTGCTGCCTGTGGCCCACAGTAGAGGTGGATGAAGAAAGTGTTCAGCATATGCTGGCCTGTCTCCAAGACCCCAGGACTGATCACTGAAGACTCCTGCATATCAGGGCCTTCCATACCTAGTGTCAGCTTCAAGCATGTCAGTGGGTATTGAATAAATACCTATTGGTGAATGCTGTGCTCTTCGACATGGGTGAGCATAATTCCTGAATTCTAGATGAGAAAAGGAGGCCAGTGTCACGGGGCAAGTTTCAGTGTTGGAGTGATCAACTCTCTTTCGTTAGTCACAACTAACTTGTTCTAATGTCCTGTGGCCACGTAGGTCCAAAGACAGTTACAACACACCCCAAATCGATGAAGTCAACATTTTTGTACTGTCTCCATTCCATCACAGCTATGCCCTTCCCTGCCCCTCACTCTCTCCCAGTAGATGCTTGTCATCTATGAGCTCGGACTCTATGATTCAGGTCCCTTACTGGAAAGGGGCTGGTGACAATGTCTATCTCACTGAGCGAAAGCCCAGCACATAAAGCTTCACTTAATACGGCTGTCATCAACAGTCCATATAGTGACATGCTAGCAGCCCGCCCTTCCTGGATGGGCCCTACCCTTCCCCAGCTTGGTGCAGGCTATGCTGACATCTTCTGCAAGTGACTCTCTCCTTAGCAGGCTGGGGGAGGGACAATGCTCAGTCCCTAGCTTGTTCTGGCACCAGGACACCCATTTCTGCCTGACTTCTGACATCCAAGTCTCTGATACCCTAGTTGTCACTCTACATCCAGAGTGACACAATACTGGACCAACATAAGGGGATGCAACCTCTAGGTAGCTGTCCGGGGGGTCAGCCTCCTCTCCTCCAGAGCATGCTGCCTCTAGCTCTCTTGCTTCTCCATCGTTCCTATGGGGACCAAGGTGATGGAGACCACTGACACTCTAAGGAGGCATGAGGTGTGATGGAGCCTTCACAGCAGCTGTGTCTTTAAAGTGTTCATAAATAGACACCTTGTGATCCCACACCTGGCCTCCTTTACACCCTAGATAGGATGATTCTGCAGTCAGGAAGACTGAAGAACCAGAAGTCAGTGTGCTTATAGACCACCCTGAGGCCACTTCCCTGCAGGTCAAGCCAAGGATACTGAAGCTCCGATCAGTGATGGCCAGATGCCAGAGGTTGATGCGTAGGTCATCCGCTGACATGTATGTCTCACAGTCACTGTTGACTGAGATGGAGTTGATGTGGTAGGTGTGGCCATTGGCGAAGATTCTCCTCGGGCTCACCTCCACCATCAGGTCCATAGGCTTCAGCACAGGCACCTGCAGAGCAGAGACAGTCAATCACATGGGCAGGGGAAGGAAAAGTGTCACAGGACACACAATCTTTTTTTTTTTTGTCCGAGACAGGGTTTCTATGTGTAGCCTTGGCTGTTCTGGAACTCTCTGTAGACCAGGCTGGCCTCGAACTCACAGAGATCCTCCTGCTTCTGCCTCTGAAGTGCTGAGATTAAAGGCATGTGCCACCACTGCCTGGCAGAAGACACACAATCTTAATGGGAGGATGCAACGCTCATTCAGGAGCAGGGTGTGAAATAAGTAGTCACAGATGGCAAATGTCCTTCACCTGCCCTGCTCACGCAGCATGCTCTACAAGACTGTTTAACTGTGAGGTTTTCAAAGCTTCCTAATCTGTACAAGGGGCTCAGGAGGTAAACCTGACCCACCTCATGTGAACTGAAGTGCCCAGCATGCGCATGTGCCCACGCACACACACATACACACACAATATTCCTCTCTCTCTCTCTCTCTCTCTCTCTCTCTCTCTCTCTCTCTCATTCTTTTTATATTTTATTTAGTTTATTTTATATGTATGAGCATTCTGACTGCATGTATACATGTGAACTATGTGTGTGCTTGGTACTCCAGGAGGTCAGAAGAGGGTATCAAACCCCTTAGGACTGGAGTTACAGATAGCCGTAGCTATCATGTAGGTGCTGGGAGCCAAACCCAGGTCCTCTGCAAGAACAGCAAGTGCTTTTAACCACCGAGCCATCGCTCCAGCCCCCGGAACTCTTTCCTGCAAGTTCCACACTCTGCTGGAGGATGCAAGTCCTTATGCCTCTTAATTAACTCTACCGAGCCACCTTCCGGCCCTCACTGCACCTAAGAAGATCTAGCCCAGTTCCCTCAACCCAATCATAGGCTCAGGGCACACTGAGCTCAACTCAGTAACTACAGGGGAAGTGTGGCTATACTCTGGGACTCAGTTTCTCCTTTCTGTCATGGACATTTTCTGACTTGCTGTCCCCTCAACTGCAGGCGAAGAGCCCTTCACAGACACAGCCCACCACACCATGCCAGTAAGGAGGCATCCAGGGTGTGTGCTGTGTAGTGGATTAAAATTTTTCATCCTGGAGTGGGGGGAATTCTGAAGACATAGGATGCAAAAGGGAAGTGGAACAACAGGGTATGTTAGGACAGGATGTTTACAAGGTGAAATAACAGAATGGTCTAAGGCAGTGATTCTCAACCTGTGGGTCACGACCCCTCTGGGGGTCGAACAGCCCTTTCACAGGAGTCACATATCAGATATCCTGTATTTCAAATATTTACACTATGATTCATAACAGTAGCAAAGTTACAGTTATGAAGTAGCAACGAAATAATTGTATGGTTGGCTGTCACTACAACATCAGGAAGGTTGAGAACTACTGGTCTAAGGGGAGGTGTAACAGTTCATCCTTCAGGGAAGCTCCTTTTGGACGGTAGATAAACAACTCAAAACAGCTTCAGGAAGTCCCTGAAACCGACCAGGTTTCACTAAGTCCCTCCCTTTCCAGGAGTATATAAGCTGTGAAGACTACAAAGTTACTCTCTAACAAGCTGAGCTGCTTAGAAAAGGCTCAGCCATCAGCCTGGAAGAAGCAGAGACCAGGGAACTGACCAGCCGAGCTGCCTGGTAGAGATTCAGACCAGCTGAACCACCTGAAAGGGCACTCCAAACTGTCCAGCTGCCTGCAGGCTGTGCAGTGTGCTCCAGGTTCCCAGCTTTTGTAAGCTGTCACCACGCTGGGGTGGGCTTTGATGGTGTAACTGTTTATCACTCATTTCTGCTCCTCTAAGTAATCCCAATAAAACTCGTTGGTTCAGCCAAGCATTATGGCACACGCCTTTAGTCCCAGCACTCAGGAGGCAGAGGCAGGCAGATCTATGTAAGTTCAAGGCCAGCCTGGTCTACAAAGCGAGTTCCAGGACACCCAGAGCTATTACACAAAGAAACCCTGTCTTGAAAAAAAAAAAAAAAAACCTCATTGGCTCACCTTGGTGGGCTTGGTAGTATCTATACTTTGGTCTATTATTGGTTCCCTATCTAGGATGAGTAGATTGTTCGTTCATTGCCCCAGGAATAATGTCACAACAGTATGGACCTGACTCTAGCTCCAAGAGTCCTAGACATCTCATGGCCTGGTAGAACATAAACGCTGGACATTCTGTGCAGGACGTCACTGTGGACAGGTCTGTCTTTCATTTGCTCACCTGCAGAGACGTCACTGTGGACAGGTCTGTCTTTCATTTGCTCACCTGCAGTGACGTCACTGTGGACAGGTCTATCTTTCATTTGCTCACCTGCAGTGATGTCACGGTGGACAGGTCTTTCAGCTTCCCCTCCTCATCCTTCAGGTTGTAGCCCTCCGGCCTCTTGTCTCGTTCGGTGATCTTCCATAACTTAATAGTTTTATCTTTAAGAACAGAATGGGGAAGAACAGCCAGGTCAGGAAGAGAACACCTGCTCTAGCCAGAGGGACAATGACATGTACCCCAGGGGTCACCCCACGCCCCTGTTCTCACACAGCCAGGTTCTCCCTCACAATGCCTTACATAGACTACCTCTGCATTTGGGGAATCTATCTTCACCCCAACTTTCCTAGTCGCTGACAGGGGATGTTGCTAGGTCAAAGGGCACGGTCCCTGCAAGGATCACTACTGACCTCTACAATGGGGCTGTACCACTGTTCCTTCCTGAGAAGAGGGTGGCCTATCTGCCCTTCCTAACTCGATGGTACCTGCCACCCAGAAGCCAGTTCCAAGGGCTTCTCTTCTCTGAACTCCTCCCTCGGATGTCACAGGAGGAAGTGTAGATGATTGTAATCTCATGGCTCGCCTTGGCTCTGCCATGGGCACTGTTAAAAAACACATCGGCTCTTGCTATGAAGGGTCTTTTAGAGGCAATTAAAATTTAAATCCATCAAGCCGATAACCTGCCACCAGGAGAGGATGGACATCGTATAATTGGCTGAAGGCCCTGGCAGAACAGAAGCCCACCTCCCAGGGAAGAAGGGACTCTGTCAGCAGACACCCTTCAGGCTTGAGCTGCGTGCTTCTGGCCTCACAATCACAGGGGCAAGTTCCTCTCCATCTCCTCCTTTCCCTCTCTCCTCTGTCTGTCTCTCCCCCACAGGTCTGGGTCCCCAGAGAACCCTGATAACCTCAGCAGTCAGAAACAACACTGTAAGCATGGGAAGGAGCTAGAGGGAAAACCGGTTTCCGATGGGGCCTTCAATAGGGACCTTCAGTCTTCTGTAAAGAATGGGTGGAATTGGGGTATAAAGCTGGTCTAGAAGTTTTGTGGAGCTAAGAAGTAGGTGACTCCCACGGCTGGCCTTCCTTCCACAATGTCAGGAAGTTATTTTTAAAGACAAATGTACATGCATGGGCACGCACGTGAGCACGCACACACACACACACACACACACACACACACACACACACACACACACAAGCTTAGTGTCATCTTTACACGCTCCTAGTCCCATGTGACTATCCATCCACTCCCGCACAGGATAAAGACCCCAGAGCACAGGTGTGCTGAACCGATCCCAGCCAGGCCTCCAGAAGGCCAGCTAGAACCTGTCCTCTGGAAGCCTGGCAGAGACACACAATTAGAGTGACAAGTGTCATGCCAAGGGAGGGGTCAGGCGGAGGTGAGACATCAGGGCAGACTTCCCGAGGCAATATCCAGTGGATGGAGAGGGGATGAGGAGGGAAGCCACCATGTGAGAGATTGTGGGGGCAGGCAGGTGACAAAGGCTGAGTCATTCTCAGGAAGGCCTTGGGGCCCCCTCAGCAGCAGGACTTCCTCAAGGGAGGCACTGGTGACACCATCTTCCCAGCCTCCCTCAGGCTCACACAGCACAGAGCACTGGGTGGATATCATAGCTCCCCACAACCTCAGGAGGGAGCCCAGTCGACCCCTGGGCAGTGTGCATACTGAAGCTAATGAAGCAAGGCCACATGCTCCAGGCCACAAAGCCCGCCAGGACCCAAGTCTGCCCCACCAGACTCCTGGCCCTGACTCTCGGGCTGAGGAGGGGAAGAAGGGGCAGCAGGGCGAGTGTAGGAACTAGTGGGTGCCCAGGCCAGCAGGGGCTGGGAGGCCTGGACCCAGTCTAGGGGTGGCAGGCAGAGCTGGCACGTAACAACAGCTTTCTGAGGTCACACAGCGTGTCTTGGAGGAGAGGGACAATGGCCAGCTACCTGTCTGTTCTCCCCACCACTGGGGGCAGCCCCAGTCTGGGTAATTGTGACTCTGACTAAGAGTTCAGTTGGTATCTTGTGGTCACTGGTTTTGGAATATTCAACCTCATCTCTACCTTGGAAATACCCATGACCATTGTGTCTACAATGCGGGGGGAGGGGGTGAGATTTGTGATTAGCCAGGGAAAGCTGAAGAGAGTGGTCTGATCAACACTAAAGTCACAGAGAAACCCGGAAGCCGGAGGGAGGTCAGGCTAGCCATCCCCGCCGGGCCTCACCGTTGGTGGACAGCAGTGAGTGTGCGGCGTTCTGCTGCGGGAGCCATTTGATCTTGTTGATTTTCTCCTCTATCTCCAGGCTCTTCAGGTAGTCAAACTCCGGCTCATGGCTCTGGAAGGTGCTGTACACGTCGTACTCACCCTGGCTGTGAGGGGCGTTCTTACTCTGCAGGGAAACCCAAAGGCAGACTGAGCCACAGGAGCAGCCAGGGCTGATGGAGGCAGACCCGAGATGAGGCTGAATCCGCTGTGCACTGGGGGGTGCTATCAACACCACCAAAGGAAGCTGCTAATGCAAGTGTACATGTGTGTGTGTGTGTGTGTGTGTGTGTGTGTGTGTGTGTGCATGTGTGTGCGTGTGTGTGTGTGTGCAGGGATGTGTGTTTGTGTACAAGGGGCGTGCAGGTGTGTGTGTGTGTGTGCAGGTATACATGCATGTGTGTGATCACGCATACAGAGACAAGGGACAACCTTAGAGGTCATCCTCAGAACACTGTCCATCCTCTTTGAGGCAGGGTTTCCCATTGTCCTGGACCTCACCTGGGGATCTGCCTGCCTCTGCCTCCCCAAAACTAGGATCACAGGGTATGTATTTTTATGTGGGCTCTGGGGATCAAACTTAGACCCTCATCTTGTGAGGCCAATATATCCATGAAGTGGCCACCATTCACCCAGATGAGGCCAGATGCCAATCAATGCCAAGGCTCTATCTACCCTCATCTGTCAGGCCCTAACCCAGCTTCCCATGGCAGCTCCCATCCCAGTTTGGGCAGCAGAGTTCCTGCTATGAACCCCCTCTTGGTGGAGACCCCCAAATACTGAGTGTTAGACCTGCCATAAATGCCAGGGACCACTTTTCTAGCAGACAAGTCAAGTTTCTATGACAACATGAAATCACAGCCAGGAACAAGTGAAGACGGCAGCCAAGCCCAGGGTCAGTTTTTTCTGTTCATTTTGAAAGTGTCTATTTTTAGGTTACCGGTAGTCTCTGTCTTGCGTGAGGACCTGTTTGAAAATCCTTCCACGTTTTTTGCCTCCTCCTCCCATGAGCACTAGTTGTGAAAAAGGTCAGCAGGACCAGAGGGAAGAGACAGTAAAGGGGAAAAACCAGAACCTCTGAGCACATTTCTCTTTGCAGTGTGCAGAATGATGGCTGACTCTGGTGTGCCCTGGTGGGACAGTCTGTCTAATGACACCTGTGTGCATCAGGATGTCCCTGGCCTGCCCTTGGGGAGCTATTTTAAGCTCTCCATGCTGCAGTTCTTCAGCTGTCAGATGAAGGGTAACAGCAACTCTCTGCCTGGTGGGTGGGGTGGCGATGCAGGGCTGCATGAGCTAATGCAGCATGGGAGACAAGTAGCATGGGCGAGGCTGGCTTCAGCTCCTCTCCCTAGCCCTGCCTCCCTGAGCCTCTCCCTCCTCCCCCTCCCTGGTTTCTCGTCTCCAACACATTCAGTGGTGAGAGGCCCCTTGCTGGAGTGGTGTGTGACGACACAGCCAAGAGCCCGGCAGGTTTCCATGGGGCTTGCTGCTGATTGGCTTGTCTGTAAATGGGTGTGCATCTGTACCCTCAGAGGCCATCAAGAATGAGCAAAGGCAGAAACCGTATGGAATACGGAATAGGGACAGCTCATCCCAATGTCTGCATAAAGTAGTTTCTCAGTGAATGGGCAAGGGGTCTCGGACCACACAGTTCTCTCAAGGTTTCAGAAATGACCTCCTGGGTGGATGGTCTCAGGCTGTTCTTGTTGTATTCAGAATTCTGCTGCACAGCAACAGGGGAGAGCAGAGGAGCAGATGGAGACTGACTTGAAGGGTGGAGGCCTGAGAAAACCTGCCAGGCAGGCCAGCAGAGAGCTGGATGGGGTAGGGGTGGGGTTCTACTGGGGACTTGTTGGTTCGCCTGGGACTACAGTACTGTCAGTGAACCATCAGCAAACTCCTGTTGAGTCGGGGGCTTTAGGAGCTGACCCAGTTCACCTCCTAGGCCCATCCCCTTTCCCTCCAGCCCCAGGGACTTCATGAGAGAGGGGAGTCGGTGAGGGAACTCTAGATGGGACACGTAGGCAAGATGGGTCAGAAGTCCTGCTCAGAGTATAGTCTGCACCCTGCCAGGCCCACATCTGCCTTGACCCTACCCTCACCCCTAGCCATCTGCCCATCCTCTTCCCACCTCCCTCCTGACCCCCCACCCCCACAATACCTCTGGTTCCCGCTGGAAGATAACCACACGGCCACCCTTGTCACCTGTGGCCAGCAGTTCCCCAGTGTGGTTGAACTCGACAGTGGAGATGATGTCAGCTTGAGGAAGCAAGACAGAAGGCATTGTTAGACCACTGCATTATCCCACAATGACATCAGTACAGTGCTATGCTCTGCAGACCCACCACCCCGGGGGGCCCACGGAGCAGGTGGGAGCCCAGGAGTACAGAGCATGCTGAGGGTCCCCTCCCTCCTGCAGGAGTGTGGGATTCTTCCCGACACCTTGTCCCTCACACAGCATCAGGCAGGCATCCCCCTGTGCTCAGCAGGTCGCTAGTACAAATCTGACACTTAGGCTGGGCTCCAGGCCCAGAGGACAGACCTGGGGACAGTGTGGGGCCATGCTGAGGGCCTGGAGCCTATTGGGGCATGTAGGCACCATTCCACAGGGCTTAATGCCATCAGGGCCGTCCGCAGGCCAGGTTCTAGAAAGCTGAACTCAGTTTAACACCCAGAGGCCTTCCTCATGGAGTTGCCCCAGTAACTGGTGTCTGACCCGCCTGTGTGGGCAGGTGTCTGGAGAAAGTCCACAGTGCTCACGCCAAACTCCAGTCTCAGTATCTGGGAACAAGGGCAACACCCAGTCTATTCCCCAACCTTCTCGGGCTCTATGAGTCACAGCAAAAATTGGCCTGAACATCCCAGGCAGCCAGCTACAGGGCTAGGACCATGCACGGGAAAGCTAGGCCCTGACATGGCAGAAGGAAAGTTGCTCCTTCTAGAAAAAGCTCCAGAGTTCACCAGCCCCAAACCTGAGGCTGCCCTACCACCAGGCTTTACTGGAACCCCAAAATGATCTTTACTTTTAATTTGAATGTATTTCTAATATTGAACAGGTGAAAGTATCCCTGTAAAAAATGTGTTGCCAGTACATTTTGAAGCACAGAAAGTTCTAGAACATCGACCCATATGCCCAAGCAGCACCTGGTGGCAGGGCAGGGCAGTGTCTACACCTGTGAATGGGATCCTGGTCATTTTTCACATTCCTGGCCTGGGCTCTGTCAGGGCCAAAATCTCTGGCTCCAATTGTGGTAACAGGATCGTCTGTAACAGTCCTCCAGGGACGCCAGCAGAGCACTGGTCTCCCTGACTATTCCATCTTCAGATAGCTGCCAGGGAGATGCCTACACCCTTGAACCATGGTCTCTCTCCTCACGCTCCGCCCCCCAGCAGTTCCTAAACCTGGGTACTAGCAGTAGCAAATCACTCCTCCCTGTCCCCACAGCCTCAGCTCCGGCTCAGTGACACCCAGATCCCAGTGCTATGACCTGTCTGCTGCAGAATGCGTGTTTAACTGTGCAAAGATGTGCTGCATTTGTTTATGTTGTGGAATATTTGTTTAACTGTGTAGAGATGTGTTGCATTTGTTTAATTATGTAAAGATGTGTTGCTGTTTTACCTTGCCTGACTAAGGCACCTGATGGGTCTAATAAGAAGTTAAATGGCCAATAGTTAGGTAGGAGGTACAGCCGGGACTTCCTGGCAGGGAGAGGGAGGAGGAGGAGGAATTTAGGCTGGCTGGGTGGGGGGGTGGAAAAAGAAAAAAGAAAAAGAGACAGCAGGGGCCAGCTAACCAGACACAGAGGAAGCAGGAAAGCAGGACATACAGAATGAAAGGTAAAAAGCCCTGAGGCAAAACACAGCCGACTAGAAACAGGTTAAAAATAAGGTTAAAGAGCTAGTGAGACAAGCCTACGCTAAGGCCGAGCATTCATAATTAATAATAAGTCTCTGTCTTTATTTGGGAGCTGGTTCACGGCCCAAAGAAAACGCCAACTACACATGTCCTTCAAACGAGGGCCAGGGCCTCTCCTAAATGGTCTCCTACCTCACTGTGCCCCACAGGCTGCAGGGAAACAGTAGGCGGAAGCCAGCAACACCATGACTGACTCTATGATGTGTCATTTCCCTGCCCAGGGCTTCTAGCAGCCCTGCACTCCACAGTCAGAGCAGTCTGTAATTGTGCACACCAGGACCCCAGACCTTCCCTTCCCCTGCACCTACTCCCTTCTCCGGAACTCACATGCCCCGCACCTGGACAGTAAACCTCCACCTGCCCTGGACTCTGGGCTGGGCCCTGGGATTGGCTTGGGCCTATCTATGGGACAAGAGCTAACGAGCTGCAGACAGGGCCAAGAAGGGGCTGCCACACTCAGCTCTACCCTGTCGCCTCTGCTTCTGCCAGCAGAGGGACCTGCCCAGGCTAGCCCACCAGTCCCCACAGTGGGGGGGGGGGGAGGCAGGTGCCACAGGGCTGCTGGCCAACCCCAGCCTGCAGCAGGCCACTGACAAGTCCAAACTCAGCTCTCTGCAGATGTGTGACAAACGGTCTGTAAGTGATAAGACACCCTCTAAGCCGACCCTATCCTCTTCTACGTCACCATCATTCCATGCCTGACCCAGAAGTCTCCTCTTCCCGGTTGACGTCAGCACCAGTCTGGATATTGGGCCTGGGTGCTCTCCCTTGACATCAGTACAGCACAGTCTAGAGACTTTCTTCTCATCTTGCACATGGGCAGCCTGCTCCGCAAACCAGTGTGGCCACCTTGTTGAACCTTTTTTTTTTTTTTTTTTTATTTCTTTTTTTTTTTTATTAATTTATTTTGCAATACAATTCAGTTCTACATATCAACCACGGATTCCCTTGTTCTCCCCCCTCCCGTCCCCCTCACCTTCCCCCCAACACCCCCCCCCCATTCCCATCTCCTCCAGGGCAAAGCCTTCCCCACAGACTGAGGTCAACCTGGTAGACTCAGTCCAGGTAGGTCTAGTCCCCTCCTCCCAGGCCGAGCCAAACAATCCTGCATAGGCCCCAGGTTTCAAACAGCCAACTCATGCAATGAGCACAAGATCTGGTCCCACTGCCTGGATGCCTCCCAAACAGATCAAGCCAATCAACTGTCTCATCCATTCAGAGGGCCTGATCCAGTGGGGACCCCTCAGCCATTGGTTCATAGTTCATGTGTTTCCATTCATTTGGCTATTTGTCCCTGTGCTTTATCCAACCTTGGTCTCAACAATTCTCGCTCATATAAACCCTCCTCATTCTCGCTAATTGGACTCCCAGAGATCCACCCGGGGCCTAGTCATGGATCTCTGCATCCAGATCCCTCAGTAGTTGGATGAGGTTTCTAGCACAACAATTAGGGTGTTTGGCCATCCCATCACCAGAGTAGGTCAGTTCGGGCTTTTATCAACACCTTGACCCCATTCCACAGCAGCCTGTTCCCCCTTCTCCTGGCCTGGGCTGCGTGCTGTGCTCCTTGTCTGTGTCTGGCGCCTGACTCCATGAGGGCAAAGCTCTGAGATGTACTTCAAAGCCTCAGTGGTGCCTGTGTCTGGCATAGTGTGTATCTACTCAATACAAACCTTTTGTTTATCACGAACTTTTCTTAGCCAGGCAGCGGTGGTGCACGCCTTTAATCCCAGCACTTGGGAGGCAGAGCCAGGAAGATCTCGGTGAGTTCAAGGCCAGTCTGGACTACAGAGCGAGATCCAGGACAGGCATCAAAACTACACAGAGAAACTCTGTCTTGAAAAACCAAAAAAAAAAAAAAGAAAAAGAAAAAAAAAAAAAACCTTTCTTTGAGGGTGCTGGGATAGGAACCAGGGTATTATAGCCCATCATTGAGCTGTACCCCCAGCTCTAATATATGCCCTCCAGAGGGAGCCCCTGACACACACTGGGCCTCTGAGCTGTAGTAAATGCCTGCTGTGGTAGCAACAAATTAGGGCAGAGACACAGGATACAGTGGGACATATCCCTTTACATTTAAATAGAGGGGACCGGGCAAGCGCCTGCTACACACACTAAGTTGTCCTGGCCACCGACTCCATCCCTCCATGCAGCACCTGCCCTGGCCCAGGACACTCTGGGCTCCCAGATGAAGCAGTGGCTGTTGCTGCTTCACATTCAAACTCCCTAAGGGGGAAAGAGCAGAATATAAAATTGTATATAAAATGTCTTCATTATCTAGACCAGTGATCACAGCCTTGTTTTAAATACGCAAACAAGCTAGGGTGGGGGCTGGAATTTCCCAGAATGTCAACAAAGCTTTATGCAGGATGGATGAGACAAAATAGATTTCCCTTCCTGCTTCTGCAGATGTTCTGTGGTGCAGCTACATTATTTTAATAACTTTATTAGGATGTAATCAATACATCAAAACCGGCATATATAACGTAGACAATTTGATGAGTTTGGGTGTATACATAACGCTCGTTATTTTTGTGATAGGCAAAATAATGCAATTAAATTAAAATGCTGACATAACCTCGCTATCCAGAGCAATTGAGGTCCACCGAGGCCGGGCGGTTACCACAGTAACAGACACTAATGTCTGTGGGCAATTTACAATTTGTATGTCATTTTCATGTCCACTGCTTCCTTGGAGCCTCAAAAGCCCCCCTGGGGGAGAGATTAGTGTGACTTCCAGTTGGTGATGGGAAGACAGTGCTCCCTCCATAGGCAAAGGCCTGGGAGCTCTCTATGGACCAGTAGACGTCGGGGTTAGCATCTTGGCTCAGGCCACTCAGCTGTGTGGCCTTGAGTGGGTAGCAACAACTTCTCTGATCCCTGGCTCCTCACCTGTGCCTAGTCTGTGATGTATGGTCTTTCTGGGAAAGGAGGATAGTGAGGCAACCGGGGTGGGAAGACCAGGGAAGGAGGACCAAGCAGGTCTCTGAGGAATAATGGGCTAAGAGCCACAGCCTTCTGCCATCCTTGCCTCTGGCTTCTAGAAAGCCCAGTGGTGCTCAGAAGTGTAGGTCTACGGCCCAGCCCCTCCAGTCCTGCTCTGGGTACCAGTGCAGAGCCGTCTTTACCCCCAAGATCCTCTTACCCAGGTCAGGGCCCCGACAAGCTCTCCAAACAAGGGCGGCAAGCTCTCCAAACAAGGTCACACCAACCATCTCATAGCACAGGTCCCAGGCGTTTGCCTGAGGCCAAGCTACCGCAGAGTGCCAAGAGTCACCACCCCCCAAAGCCAAGCTCAGTCACTGGGAAGCTCCTCTGCAGAGAAAGGTCACCTCTCCTTCAC